TGTCTGATCTCATATGTTGTCTACCTCTTCCATTAGAGTTTTTACTATATTAATCATGTTTTAAATTTACTGTCTTGTGGTTCCAGAATTTATGTCATACATGGGTCCGGCTCTGATAATTGCTTTGTCCCTTTGAGCTGTGTTTTTATTACTGCCTTTGCCATGCTTCATAATTTTTGTTTAAAGCTGAATGTGCTGTATATGACAGGAGATACTGAGGTATATACTTGATATGCTTGTAGAAGACTGCTAGTTTCCTGCAAGTCCTTTAGGGTGGAGATTTGTGTTAATCTGTTCAGGCATTGGTCTGTGTTTGATGTTTATTATTGCTGTGGTTACTGGAGTTGACATTTGTTGTTGCCATGGGAACAAGAAGCTTCAAATTTTCCCAGTAATACCTTGTTCTTGTCTTCCTGCTTGGCTTTGGGTTTTCCCTTTGTGCTATTTCTCCGTGAGAGTCTGAGTCTTGCAGCTCTCTCAGGTGTATTCCATTGTTTTTACTCAAAGCCTGTCAGTAAGGTAGTGGAGGGTGAGGGGAGTTCTGTGATGTTCTGGTTAAGCCTTATATTTATGCAGATAGTAGAACCTGGGTCTAGGGGGTGTGGCCTTCACAAGACTATTGCCTTCTTTTTCCCAACTGCTATGGGTATTCAATAGTATCCTCAAGCTGAGGTTTTTTTCAGCTCTTTCCCGCTGCATTAGGGCTATTGCTGTTTTAGAGAAACAGTGAAGATGGATAGGGGTGAAAATTGGGTGTCAGCCTCCTTTCCTTCCTCCAGCTGTAGTGGGATTCCACCAGAAATTGCTCTTTACTGATTAAGCCTTTTGTTCCACAGGGAGATAAGGGAAATAGACTGGTTTAGCATTGTTGCTTGCTCTTCCCTCGTTAGTTCCACGGGGGTGGAGATGGAGGAGCGTTCTCTACTTTCTCCTTGCTTCCCCCTGCATTAGAGAGCCTTTTGAGGTTCCTGGAGGAAAAGCCACAAGAGGATGGGAACTATCCTATGATTGCAGCCCTCGAGGACTTCACACTCTGATTCTAACCTACATTCAGTCTTCAGAGTTCGTCAGAATGTTTGGTTTAATCTTCCTATCTGCACTGGAATTCTTCCATGCTCTTGGGACTGTTTCCTTTGGTCAGAGATGAGGCTTTTAGGTGCCTGTCTAGCCTTAGCTGTTGCTCCATCACTGTTGTATTGCCTGGAGGCTGGGATAGAGGTAAACAAAAAAGAAAAGGAGGAAAAAGTTATTTCCTCCCAGCTCTTTTTGAACCTTAGGAGTACACATTGTGGTCAGAGAATATACTGTGTATCATTTAAGTTTTTTTAAATTTGTGAGACTTGCCTTAGGGCTCAACGTATGGTCAATTTTTGTAAATGATTTCTTTCTGCTTGAAAGAGTATCTATTTTGTAATTATTGAGTGCTGTGTCATATTAATATCTGTTTAGATCCAGTTTGTTCATGCTATTCAAATCTATATTTCTACCCTCTCCCTTTATTTGAGTCATTTGTTCTATCACCTACTGAGAAGAATACAAAATTTATTATGATTATGGATTTTTTCTCCCATTTCTTTTTATAATTCTGCTAAGTTTTGCTTTATATATTTGGAGGCTATGTTATTTACATGCATACAAATTTAAAATTGTTGCATCTTCCTGATAAATTATACCTTTGTAGGTATTAATGCTTTTGTGCATTTAGTCTACTTTGAATACAATTAATACAGCTAGAGCAGCTGCATTTCAGTTTGTTAGTATGACTTTTTCCCATACTTTCAACTATTTTCTGTAATTTTAAGTGTAATTCTTGATTAATTTAAAAAAATATTAATTTTTGTCTTCTGGTCCAATTGCATTTAATGTAATTACTGAGTATTTGAATTTACATTTGACATCTTACATTTTGCTTCTTATATGTTTTATTTGTTCTATAATCTTGTTTTCTCTTCTTTTTTGGATTTGAGTATTTTAATTATTTCTGCCTTCTATTTAGTGTGTTTGTTCTCCCTCCGGAGTAACATTAGTTACCAGTTACCTGTCCACCATTCCAGAATGAAATAGTCTGTGCATATACAGTATGTACTCACTCCTTTAAAAGTAGTAGCATGATATATACATGGTTCTGCACTTTAGATTTTTTTAAATAAATAGACTTTTAAAAAACATACTGCAGTTTGCTTGCTGTTTTTACACTCTTGGACAGTACAGGAACCTTGGAACCCTGTGACTCCAAGTATGGGCTCTGATTTTGTATTTTTATTCTTTATACAATTGAAACCTCATCACACGTTATTATTGCTTTAATAATTCAATGTTGTTTGATATCTCTTTCTGGATTCTAAAACAGAGTATCTGTCTCCTTGGTGATGGGTTGCTGGGTGGGGCTGGTTCAGCTAGATAATTATTTAGGAAAAACTAAGAATATGCTAACAGATGGAAAAAGCCTCTGTCATTAAAAAAAAAAAAAAATATATATATATATATGAATGAGAGAAACCGTGACTGATTTTTTAAAATTATGTTTGAAAAAGAAAAACTTATTGACAGCATGAAAACACAGCCATGAATAGGAAACAGTGGTCATAATAAGATCTTCACTAAGGACCTTAGGAAAAAGGATTTCAAGAGGATCAAAGGAGAGAGAGAGAAGCTTTCTTGGGTAGTTAAAACATTTCCATTTTATTGTGGCATAAATGAGGTGCAAAAGAAAGGAAAACTGAAATTTCATAGTTGTAACATCTTCGGCCAGGGTGGTAAGAGAGTAGAGAAATATTTAAGCAGGTCTAAAGGAATAAGGGACATCTTACCAAGGCTGGTTGCAAGGAAGTAGCTCTCACACAGTCTAGAGGGAGCCCATAGGGTTTGCTAAAAGGCAACAAATTTCTTTGGAGCTAAATGAAGTATGGATGACATTTTATTGTTGTTGAAATAAGATGCAGGAGGATGAATTGTACTTTTAAGTAATACATTTCCAGCTGAGAACTGTAAATACTCGTTTTATCAGATGCTTTTTTAGCATCTCTTACAGTGGTATGAGGAATTCCTGTTGACTCTTCAGTACTTTGTGTGCTCATTCCTTTCCATTTACTTTTTTATGACCCCTTTCCAGCCATACCAATGGGCTCAGCTCTTCCTTGTCATCTTTTTCTAAATTATTAAAGTTCGTTACCTAATTTCTCTGATTATCATCTTTTCCTTCTCTCATGCATCTTACATGATTGTTAGGCCTAAAACATGTCTTATATCCTGGAAATTCTATAGTGGCTCTTTGTTTTCTGTTAAATCAAGTCAAAATTTTAGTCAGTAGACCTGTTTTGGCCTTAGGTTTTTCAACTGTAAATTGGTTGGTTTCAACAACCCCCTTATCTTGTGGGTTGTTGTGAGGATTAGAGATGATATTCACCTGAGTGCAGTTTAATGCAATTTAATATAAATACTCAATAATTACCTAACATTTGAAGCCCTCTTTAACTTCCCAGGCTTACCCATTTAATCTTATTTTCCCTATTCAGAAATGTGTATCCACCAGTATGGTCTATCTGACCTCTTTACAGTATGCCCAAACATACTGTGTTTACTGCCTGCTGGCTGAAGGTGTTGGCCCACATCTTTCTGCTTATTCATCCATCTTCTCATCCTTCAGAGCTCAGTAAAAGCTGCTGCTTTTTTCATCAAACTTTCCCAAACAAATCCAATTCTAACTGATCTTCCTGACTTCTAATGGTAATTGCAGTCTTTCTTACACACTTCACCACTTGTGTAGTTTTGTGCTGTTTTCTGTATATTTCCTGTATGGATGTTTTATTTTCTGTCCTAGATTGTGAATTCCTGAGGGCAAGGTCATATGCTTTATTTGGTCTGTATAATGCTAGGTACATGGCAGATGTCTCAAAAATACTTGTCTAATTAAGTTGCTTCTCTGGTAATACCTGTCAGAAGCAAGTTTTCCAGGAAAAATTTAATTTAGTGCTTCCAATTCTTTGTTGTACATGGTGGCTCTGGTTCGTAATTTAAAAAATTTAATGAATACTGAAGGTTAGCTAAAAAGTAAAAATAAATAGAAACAATAAAAACCTTTTTTTTTTGGTAGAGACATGGGGTCTTGCTGTGTTGCCCAAGCTGGTCTTTGAACTCTTGGCCTCAAATGAGCCTTCTTGCCTTGGCCTCTCAAAGTGCTGGGATTACAGGTGTAAGTCACTCTGCATTGCCAAGATGTGTTTTTTTTGTTGTTGTTGTTGTTTTAAAATTGAGACAGGGTCTTGCTTTTGCTCCCAGGCTAGAGGGCAATGGTGCAACCATAGCTCACTGTAACCTCCAGTTCCTGGGCTCAAGACGTCCTCTTGCCTCAATCTCCCAAGTAGCTGGGACAGGTGTGCACTATCACACCTGGCTAATCTTTAAAAATTGTTTTAGAGATGGGGTGTCACTGTTACCCAGGCTGATATCAAATTCCTGGACTCAGATGATCTTCCTGCCTCGAAGTGCTGGGATTATAGGCATGAACCATTATGCCTGGCCTAAGATAGGATTTTTAGAATTGCCTTTGAATAGAGAATGGGAGATGCAGAACAGGAAACTACTTGAAAAAAAATTTACTTATAAAATTGTGGTGTTTTCATGTACCTGTTTTATATTTCGTGTTACTTTAAAATTATAATTAATGGAATATCCATTCCTTATTCAGTATGATAGTGTTAAAATATTTATTGCTTCTTAAAATATTTGCCACTTTAAGTGCTAAGTTAATATTTTTTCCAGAATACTTTCTTTCTTGATTATAATTATTCTTGATTATACTTTCAAAAAATGAGAAAATACTGGAAAGTACTAGAAAAAAACAAACCCTACTTCTACCAGTGAGAGATGAGCTATTGCATTTTGCTACCAGCTATTAACATTTTGTTGGATATACTTTCAGTTGTTTACTGCATATCTATAAAAGGTAAGTTTCCCCATCTAAGTTTCTGACCTTGTAATTCTTAATGTTTGCTTTTCAGCTTTTCCTAAAAGGATTGTACACCTTAGAAGTGCTTGAGGAAGAGTGATGAAGGCAAGTATCCGACTCTTTGTAGTCAGTGAAATTTAACTTGGTTCATGTCCAGACCAAAAAGCTTTGGTCACCATATTTATCAAAAAACTAAAAAATTGGAAAGAAAAACTTAAGGGAAAAAAAGACAAGGCAATTTGCATATAATTTGCTATGATTTTGTGGAGCACACTCCTAAATGGTTGATGGATTTTAAAAACGTAATTTTTTCACTTATTTCTGATACTAATTTAGAACCATTTGTTTTCTGAGCGTGAGCGAATGGCGTATTAGGTCTTCAGTAAAATTGTGCTAGAAAAGTTAATTGTTGAAAATTCTGAGAACTTAACAAAATTATTTGAAATGCCTGGCTGGTAGGTGGCTGCGTTTTTTGTCCCCCTTTCTCACCTTTTGCTCCTTCGACCTCTCCTCTTTCACTCCTTCGACCTCTCCCCTTTGTCCTGTGTCCTTTTGCTCCTTTTTCTCTTTCTCCCTCTGGTTTACTTATAATAACTTTACTTTTCAGAGAAGCTGAGTGAATAAAAAAGAAGCCAGCATTTCCTTCTTACCAAAAAGCATTTGATAGGCTTATGCAGTTAAACTTGTTTGTGTTAAACTGGAAATCTAAAAATTAGTTAATTGGGCGGGGCGCGGTGGCTCATGCTTATAATCCTAGCACTTTGGGAGGCTGAGGAGGGTGGATCACTTGAGGTCAGGAGTTCGAGACCAGCCTGGTCAACATGGCGAAACACCATGTTTTTACTAAAAATACAAAAATTAGCCGGGTGTGGTGGTGGGTTCCTGTAATCCCAGCTACTTGAGAGGCAGAGGCAGGAGAATTGCTTGAACCCAGGAGGCAGAGGTTGCAGTGAGCTGAGATTGTGCCACTGCACTCCAGCCTGGGTGGCAGGGGGAGACCCTGTCTCTAAATAAATAAATAAATAAATAGTTAATTGGGAAATTTTATAAACTGTTCAACAGTTACTATTTATATTCATTTGAGCCTCTGTAAGACATACAGAAGAAAAGAAGGGTGTCCCTATACAACTTTGAGATTATTGAATTTCTTTTGTGCTTGCATTCTGTCAGCAGTTTTATAGAGTTAATTATTGCAACATCACTATTTGTATTTTTGCCACAGCATTTGACCTTGGTAGCCTTAAAGATTTTCTATTGGCCTACAAAAAATTTTAGCAGCCTTCAAAACCTTAACTAGTTTCTTAGTGCTGCTGTTACGCAGATGATAGCTACAAGTGTAAGTACCATATTACATTTTATAATCAGTACAGTAGATTGTTTTTCAAAATTCTTGCCTTAAAACTTGATGTTTAAAGCTCAATTTAGGTTTCTTTAGGGCTGCTTGCTAAGTGAGGCTATGTGCTGGTATGATTAAGGTAAGTTTTGCCTTTGAAAAATCCCAGAATTTATTACTATTTTGTTGCTTATTCTTTGTAGCTGTGAAGATAGTCTTGGCATGGAAATTAACACCTTACTCTCAGCTTTTCCCAGGAAATGCTAACTTTTCCTTGTAATCAATCATCATTTTGAATTATTTGAAAATAAATGATTTGGCCGGGTGCAGTGGCTCATACCTGCAATCTCAGCCCTTTGGGAGGCTAAGGTGGTTGGATCACTTGAGGTCAGGAATTTGAGACCAGCCTGGCCAACATGGTGAAACCCTATCTCTCTAAAAATACAAAAATTAGCCATGTATGGTGGCACGCACCTGTAATCCCAGCTACTCTGGAGGCTGAGGCAGGAGAATTGCCTGAACCCAGGAGGCAGAGGCTGTAGTGAGCCGAGATTGTGCCACTGCACTCCAGTCTGGGTGACAGAGCAAGACTCTGTCTCAAAAAAACAAAAACAAAAATAAATTGTTTTATAAATGCTTGTGAAATCTCAAATGAATTTACTGACTTTCAAAATGTACCACATTCTCTATTAGTTTATAATAGGGCCCAAATAAGTAGATTTGCTGAGTAATAAATTCCTAGTACCTGTGCATATGAGACAAGTAGAATGATCCTCAACCTTGACATCATTCCTTTATTCTTGCTGTCTTTTAATCTCATGGGATAAACATATTTTATACATTTTACTTCAAACAACAACAACAAAGGTCAGTTATATTAGCTAATGTGCAAATAGAGGAAAAAGTAAACTACTTTTTCAGTACTGTTCTGCTGCTTTCACACCCTCCCATCTTCTCAGGATCTAAATAGCCCAGTGCAAGAAGAGACGAGTTGATATACACTGATAGGGGATTATTTTGGTTACATTAGCCCTTTTCCTCTGAGGAACTCTATTCTTTGCAGATTAGAAATAAAATTCAGTAACTATTAGCCAGCCAGCCAAACTCATGAGGAATGATGAAATAATTACTATTATTTAAAAAAATCAGAGTAACATTGTATTATATGTTTATTTCATATTTGTTTAGAAGGGGATAATTAAATATGTACACTATTGGCAAAATTTTTGCCCACAAGGAGCCCCAGAAAACTGCACCAGAGGCTAAGACAGTTTTTGATCTAATAAGGGCAAGGGTTTCTTTCTTGGCTCTCCCAAAGGGATAGAGATGAACAAAAGCAATGCACAATCAGGAAAAGGGTAACAGGCCACAGTGGGATGGCTAGATTTCAGTAGAGCCACAAAGAATTTGGGTGAAAGGCAATGAAACTTCCATTCTCATGGTTGTTACTCATTTGCCTAATTTAGGAACAAACAATTTTGTGGCATTTAGAAAGTAGGAAGGTACTAGAGAGAGACAAATATCTTTATCCGTGTCTCCCTGTTTATGCTCCTCAGTTATGAAGAGGTTAGGCGATGGAATCATGGGCATGAAAGAATATGGACAGTGGAGCCACAGTGACAGTGCCCATATAATATTTGAAGAAAGTCTTCTGAGAGTAGTCATCAGGAAGAAAACTTTAGTGAGTTTGCATTCCTGTTCCACTAAACTCTAATAGCCTTGAGTTCATAGGGAACTCTTTTTATCCAGCTAATTTATGGCTCCCTAGATTGCCACTTGGTGGCAGCAAGTCCACATATTCCCAGAACAGGAGCACCATGGTGCTTCATTGGTAGTGGCTTAAATTGTTGAAAGTAGTTGGTAGTGTAGGGAGTTTTAAAGTCCTTTAAACAAAAAGTTGAAGAAAAATATGGAAATAACCTCCTACATCATATTTTGCATTCTCTAGCAGCTTGTGTGCATGTATATAATTTGTTTTATATATTTGCACAAATGCAGTACAAAAATAAACACTTCCTATTAGGAAAAATCTCATCATCTCCCATCCCCCCTCCTTTTTTATTTTGCATGTGATTTTAGTAACCATGGCAGTTGCGTTGATTTTACATCTTAGTTTCAGCTTCCTTTTAATTTCTTGCATTTAATACTGGTATATGGTTGCTGTTTGACCTTTCTTTTTCTCTACTTTTCTCTCATACCCAGTTACTTTGCTTTTGAGTTTGTATGGATATATGGGAAGCTTCTGTCAGGGATGACACTATAGAGAAAGGGATTTCTTTGAATCTCCTTTCTTGATAGCTGGTACTGAGCAAAGCTCTAGTCTCTGATTCTGATTCTGTCTGAACCATTCACTCATATGGTGCCAGAAAGATCATTTGTGCTTTAGCAGAGAATTCAACTTACAGGATTTTATTTTCCATTCTCTTCTCAAAAGAGCAAACCTGTCATCTCTAGTTACCAGTGAACTTGATGAATATGAATGGTAACACAGACTCTGTTTTCCATTAAAATCCACATATAGTTAGGTTGGGATATCCACTTCTCACTGTTGTTCTTTGACTATACTGAGTTTCAGCCTGTGAATAATTAACTGGTTATGAATGAGAGGGATTAAATTGCCTCAGCTAGAGTAAACCTGTTTGATGGTCTGTTCTCTTGATTACCCAAGCAATGGCTGTTATGTCAACTACCATTATAGTGTCCATTCCAAGATATGGCTCCTCTAATATCTAATTCTGTATATATTGAATCTTGTAGGGATTTTTGTTTTTGAACATTGCTATTTTAATTTCCTATGTACTTGTTCTGGACTTTTTCTCTCATTCTAAAAAATAATCATTACCCACTATCTAGAAAACTGTCTTTTAATCTTCTGATTAAAGATTGCTTAATGATAGTGCCTATTTGTTTGGCCAGTAGCATGCTTTTCTTTGTTTAACACTGGAGTTTCTGCATGGATTTATAATATAAGTTTTTTTTTTTTTTTTTTTTTTTTTTTAAATATTAGATAGGCATGAAGCCTTCGTCTCACAGCTGCATGCGTAGTCACTGTTGAAGCAAATGCCTAGTCACTGTTGAAGCAAATGCCTACCTAATTTGACACTCTTGGTGTGTTTAAAAAATTTTTTTGAGTTTGCAAATAAGCATATTAAGTCTACTGATGGAGCCTTCGGGCAGTGAACAGTTATTTGAGGACCCTGATCCTGGAGGCAAATCCCAAGATGCAGAGGCCAGAAAGCAGACAGAATCAGAACAGAAATTGTCTAAAATGACCCACAATGCTTTGGAGAACATTAACGTGATTGGCCAAGGCTTGAAGCATCTCTTCCAGCACCAGCGCAGGAGGTCATCAGTGTCTCCACATGATGTGCAGCAAATTCAGGCAGATCCAGAACCTGAAATGGATCTGGAAAACCAGAACGCATGTGCTGAGATTGATGGTGTCCCCACCCACCCCACAGCTCTGAATCGTGTCCTGCAGCAGATTCGAGTGCCACCCAAGATGAAGAGAGGGACAAGCTTGCATAGTAGGCGGGGCAAGCCAGAGGCCCCAAAGGGAAGTCCCCAAATCAACAGGAAGTCTGGTCAGGAGATGACAGCTGTTATGCAGTCAGGCCGACCCAGGTCTTCATCCACAACTGATGCCCCTACCAGCTCTGCTATGATGGAAATAGCTTGTGCTGCTGCTGCTGCTGCTGCTGCATGTCTACCGGGAGAGGAGGGAACTGCGGAGCGGGTAAGTTTGTTAGATTTTGTTTTTCTGTTAACTTACTGTTTTTTCGTACCTAGGACTCTCCAGACTTTCCTTTGGTAACTAAAAAGATATCTCAGCAAATACCTTAAAGTTATGGTAAAAGCATTTTTTTCCCATTTCAAATGGGCAAATAATAATTATAGCTAATGAATGAATGCTTAGAATTATATTCCTATTTCCTTCCTAACATATTGCTGTATTTTATCCTTTCGTTAAAACCTTAAGTATATTTCATGTATTCTTGCTGTGTATTTATTTAAGAGGGTCAGTTTTATGGTGGAGGAATAAAGATGCTTTATTTCTTATTGTTTTGATTTTGCACATGGAAATGGCTTTCTTACATTAATGAATGTAGTGAATAAAGTTCTAGAATCTGAGTTTGTCTATGCTTACCATGGAAGTACACTAAGTTGGTTATAATTTTCATATACTTTGTAGTACATCAACAGCATTCATTATACATTTTGTATGCCACAGTAGAGCATATACATTATTATAGTGTACTATTAATAAGCAGATTGTTTTGGGTTTACCCAAAACCAGGCATATTAAATCTAGGAGAAACTTTTTCCGTATAACTCAGTTATGGTTAGTTGAGGCACATAGAATAAATAGTCCTGCTAGGGTTTGAAAACTCAGGTAAACGTAGCCATGCAGGTAGTGACAACGAGTGAACTTCAGTGTTATGGAGCCTGGACAAACTGAGGAGTTCCTGATTTAGGAAATCTGGAGTAGCCAGATTTAGGAAAAGCAGTGTGTATTAGGCTGCAATGACGGGAGCTTTTTGGATCACTTATAGTAAGGGCAGAAGGAAAGGGAAATTTTTGTAATGCCTGGCTGTACCTGGAAGATAGAGAAAAGTGGAAGAAGTTTGAGGGAGATGTATGTGTTCAAATAAAAAGATTTCTAAGTTTGAATTAGTTGAACTTATTATAAGCAACACTAGTAAGGCAGGTGTACTTTTCTCCCAGTGGGGAAGAAATGAAGCGGGGAAAAGGATAATTCCTGTTGTTTACCACCAGGTGGTGCCCTCGGCGAGGATTGGTAGGTGGAAGTGAGGGGATGGATGCCTGACAGGACATTGATTAACCCAGGGTGAAAATTTAATTAGTACAGGAAGTCATTAGGATATGGGCTAACTTGAGCACAGTGACTATTAAATAGTGATAGTGCTCTTATAAATATTGAACTGAATTGATAATTGTGGAAGTGGAATGGACAATAGAAGAACAGGTAGGATTTGATAACAATGTTAGAATAAAAAATTTTAAAATCTGAAGTTTGCTTGGGAGAATCGGAAGATACTGTCCATTTCCACTAAACAGTTGAAAAATTGTATTTTTTAAAGAAAACCATTCAGTTTCAGTTGGGTGGCTGACACCTACTATCAAGAGAATGTCTTATATAATAATAATTATAGAAGACATTAATGTATTTCCAGTTCCTTTAATAATATAGAACTGGAAAAGTGGGCATAAGTTAGAGATGAAGATGTATTTTGGCTTTCTAATTGTTCTCCCTTAAAGATGCTTTACATAGCAAAACTTGATTGCCAAAGCAAGTAACTTACAGGTTTATTGACCCTACTTCTGAAGGCCAGAATGTTTATGGCTACGTCCTTTCCCCCAATACTGAGTTTCCTTTAATATAAATATGTATTCATTGGCCTCAAAGATATTTTTATTACCCTTAATGATCTCATGTGGGCATCAAATACAGTTCTTGTAAGAGTAAAAGTGAAGGTACAGATAAGCTAAGTGTTCCCAACCTTGGTAAATTTTTTATGCAAAGTGTAATATCATAGGGATGCTTCTTAAAGTTTGTTTTTGTTTGGTTGGTTGGTCGGGGTTTTTTTTTTTTTTTTTTTTTTTT